GAACATACAGTACGATACTGCATGAGATCTTACCAGGGCTGAGTAAATGATTGAATGTCAGCAGCTGGTCTGGTTTGATGCTTTTGACCCTACAGACGGATGAGGTGTTTCTAGAGGCACAGATCCAGAACATCACTACATCCCCAATGTTCATGGAGAAAGTCTCTCTGGAACCTTCTTTGATGTACAACGTCACTGAACTCAACAGTGTGTCCTCTAGCAGTGAGAGGTAACACTTACATACTGTATGCCTCATTTTGTCCATGTATTTGTGATCAAAAGTTCAGGGTTAGTATTTACATTTTTTATGAAAGAAATTAATAGTTGTATTCAGGACGCAGTGAATTGATAAAGGAACAGTAAAGACAAAATATTTCTATTTCAAATAAATGCTGTTCTTTTGAACTTTCGGTGCATCAAAGAATCCTGAAAATATGTATGGCAGATGTGTATTTGTGATCAAAAGTTCAGGCTTAGTATTTACATTTTTTATGAAAGAAATTAATAGTTGTAAATTAATAGAAATGCTGTTCTTTTGAACTTTCGGTGCATCAAAGAATCCTGAAAATATGTATGGCAGATTTGACAAAAAATATGAAGCAGCACTACTGATTTCTACATTGATAATAATGAGAAATGTTTCTTGAGCATCAGTATATTAGAATGATTTCTGAAGGATCATGTGACACTGAAGACTGGAGGAATGATGCTGAAAATTCAGCTTTGTTATCATAGGAATAAATTATGTTTTACAATACATTCAAATAAAAAACTTAATATTACAGTTTTTTTTTTTTTGATCAAATAAATCCAAACTCCAAACTTTTGAGTAGTAGTGTAGGTAAGTAAAGGAATGTTTTGGGTTGAATACAGTTTATTTGACGTTAAATCTGTGACATGTTGTCCATTACTACAGAAAATAATATTGACTTGTCCCTCAGATTGTAAAATCAAACAAAAATCATGTTTACAGTAATGCACTTGCAGTATAAGCCTATTGGGCAAGACACTGCAACATTAAAATACACACTGTTTCAAACATTATACATTTTTAAAATGAGACTAGAGACAAAATGGGTTTTGCTGGCATGGCTTTTATGGCTATATATAAATAATATATAGGGATGCAACGATTCACTCAACTCATGATTCGATTCACAATTTTTTTTTTTTAACAAAATGAGATTTAAGACAAATGATAAATGAAACGTGTCCTTTTATTATTGCTTGGACAAAATACTGTACGTTTCTTTGTGAAATTGAAATCTAACACTATAATAATATACTAATATAGCACTTGCATATTATTGCTCTTTTGTTGGTTTTGATTGCTTCTATTGTCCTCGTTTGTTAGTTGCTTTGGATAAAAGCGTCTCCTAAATAACAAAATGTAAATATAATGTAAATGTAAATAACAAAACTAAATTTGAATTTTAAAACAAGCCCCAAATCAAATAAATAAGTAACACAAATAAAACAAATCTCGTCATATAAACAAAATAAGGCTTTGTCGGTGCTCTTTCCTTTTAAAATTAGAGGCAACCACTGCATTTTAATCATAATCCAAATAAAGATGCTGCATACATGCAACACGAGCAGTTTTTAATCTAAATTACATTATATAATTTCCCAATTTGAAGCAAAAACAGAATGGTTTGACTTCAGTTTTGTGAAACTATGCATTAAAAAATATCTGCATGAAACCGAAACAGCAGACGAGCTGAACGAGACGCAGATGCACTCTCTGCCAGCAGGTGGCGCTTAGAGCGTTCCCTTGGTTTCCGCTGTAAACAAAGCAGCGCTGCACTTATGAACTTTAATATGCATTATGCAGAGGCAAGATGAAAAGAAAAAATACCATCTAAAGACAGTAAGTTCCCCTCAGACATACATTCATATAAACTCCTACACCTAATTCAATCGCGATTTGTTTAGCATCGCAACCGATTTGAATCGTCACATATTTAAATAGATTTTCAACCGGCTCACGGTTAATCGTTACATCCCTAATAATGTATAAAAAATCTAAATAAATAAAATAAATATCTCACACCTGATTGCTCAACGAAGTAGTCAGCTATTTTCTGCGAATGTGCAAAATTTGTGATTCTTTAGGTAAATAACTAGAAGAATTGAATAACTTGTATTGAAAGAATAACAAAGTCCAGTAAACGGTAAAACTATTGCACTACAAATCAGTATTTATGATTATGATGGTAAATTAAAATAACAAATACCAGTATGCAGTATCTGAAAAACTGAGGAACAAAACAGAATGATTGTCCGACTGACTTGATTTCGCCCACAAAAATTCGCTGAACAATGGTAAATGACTGCGACAGCACTTTTAAATGGTTCGGCAACATACTTGTTGGCGTTATACTTATGTGCAACTTTTTCTTTTATTTCTAGCGAGTCAACGTTCGGGAGGATGTCGTATCTGCAGCCGCTGGACACGAGGCAGTATTTGTACTGTCTGAAGCCCAAGCCAGAGTTTGCAGAGAAGGCCGGGGTCATCAAGGGGGTGACGGTGATCGGCAAACTAGACATTGTGTGGAAAACCAACCTTGGGGAGAGAGGACGTCTACAGACCAGCCAGCTCCAGAGAATGGTACGCTGGCTTTAGCCAGAAAGTGTTTGTGGATTATGCAGAACACATTTCATTCCAGTATTGAGGAAAGTTACTTTTAAAAGTAATCCGTTACGTTATTCTGTTACTCCATGAAAAAGTAACTAATTGCATTACTTAGTTACTTTTTATGGAAACTAATGCATTACGTTACTTTGCGTCACCTGAGCTTGACTGCTTATCTGTTTTTTAATAACAAAAATAGAACAAAAGTTATATTTTTGGCAACTGTAAAGGCCCTTTCACATCAAAAGTGAAATGAATAAGCCTCAGGCTGAAGGAAGTGCCTCACTCCCGATTTCTCTCAACACGGGCACATGAGACGTGTCAGTGAGGAAATGGGAAAACAAAGTAACTTGTGTTACTTATTTGAAAAAGTAACTCCGATATTTAATTGTAAATGTAAAAGTAATGCATTACTAGTTACTTGGAAAAGTAATCCGATTACGTTACTTGTAAAGCGTTCCCGCCGACACGGATTCATTCAGATCTTCTCTTCTAGGCTCCTGGTTACGGTGACGTCAGGCTTTCTCTCGAGTTGATCCCAGACACGGTCAGTCTAGAGGAGCCCTTCGACATCACCTGTAAAATCACTAACTGCAGGTAAGAGCGCTGCTGTGAGCCTGTCTGGCTGGTAGTTCTGTAAGCTGTCAGTAATGCTAACGGCTGGTTTGCTTGCTGTCAGTGAGAGGACCATGGATCTGGTGCTGGAGATGTGTAACACTCGCTCCGTTCACTGGTGTGGGGTGTCAGGCCGACAGCTGGGGAAACTCACCCCCAACGCTTCCCTCTCCATTCCTCTCAAACTACTGTCCTCCGTCCAGGGTTTACAGGTAAGGGAAACTTAGACATGATCAATGGACTTTTTCATGGAGTTATAGCAGTCAAAATGTCAAAGTTAAGAAATCATTTTCAGTCCATAGGATGTTGATATGAAATCTGACAATAGGATTTTACTGAATACAGTCACACAACAGCGGAATTTCATTAGTCCAACGCGTTATGCGACAAATGTAACGTTATATAATAACTACCTGTACATTTCGGTTTCAAAAGTATAAATTGTAACTATTCATGCCTATTTATTCAAATGAATCAACACATTTCTCTAAAATGACAATACTGTCATATTTACATTTTTCCTGAAGCACCACAAAATGTCAATCACATTGTTTTTAGAAAAGTACATAAAAATAAATATTGACAAATAATTAGGGGATACATTTTGCTCTTCCACAATCGCTCATTAATAGAAAGTAATTTGTTTTTAAATATGATGAAATATATCTAAATTAAATACACATTTCTGTAGTTGATATTTCAAACATTGATTATTATTATCATGTTTCTGAAAAAATAAATATATATATATATGTTAATAACATGTTTATGAGTTTTCATATTGAAAAATGCAGTATATTTTTTAAAATGACACCTACAGCAATTATATGAATTTCTGCAAGTTCTTTATAAGAATTTAATTGAATTCCATTTTAATTCTGTCTTAATTATTCAAAATATTAAGTTATATATATATATATATGTGTGACTGTTTATCTTGTTTTCTTCTTGGATTCAAATTAATTCAGGAACTTTTTAAAAAATATTTAATTATTATTTCATATACTTTGCGTGTGAAATGATTATTGCTATAACATGCCAAGAGGTTAGCCAATCATAACATCAACATTTATTTAAAGATGGGTTTCTCTTAAGGGTACAGTATTAAAAAAAAAAAAAAAAGGGAACAGAGAAGGTGGCACATGATTACTGAAATAATCATGTTCAAATAAAATAATTAATTTGTAGGTGCAATAATAATATCATAATTGGGCTGCTGGGATAAAATGACGCAAGTGTAGCATGTGACCTCTTTAAAAGCTAAAATGAATGTGCTGTATTTTTTTTCCCCCCTCATTTCTGTTTTTTTTTTAAGAGCATATCTGGACTGAGGCTAACAGACACCTTCCTGAAGAGGACGTATGAATATGATGACATCGCACAGGTCTGTGTGGTGTGTCCGTACACCAGTCCAGAGAGCTAGAGCTGAAACCCTCTGGCGTTTTGCACTGTCTGTGTCAATGGACCAACTCCCATCTGTCCTGCATCTATTAATATAACTCCTTCTGCTCTTTACCTTTAAGCTTGTTGTTTTAAATGTCATTTTTAAAGCCCTTAATCATGATTTTAACTGTCTTATCAATGTAAATAAAACGTCAATTAAAAATCAGCTAATGTAGTGTGTTAAAACAATTCTAAAGGTTTTCTATACAAAAGTGGGCTGTGCAAGGAGATCAGAATCATGCTTCTTCTGGGTAATAATAACTAAATATCATAATGTTTCGTCATAAAGGACACTGAAATCTTCAGATCAATTTCAAGACCCATTTATTAACATTATTTTTTGACAAAAACATCATACTGCTCTGTTTTATAAGCATATTACATAAGCTTCAATCACTCATCTGACTGCAAATATCAGATTATGGAGCATGCAAAAGAAAACCGCAAACAGTGAGATGATATTTGGCTGTCATTACCGATGAATCAAACGACTAAACAAACAGGACTGGTGAAGCAGCTGATATAGTGATTATTACACATAAACGTCTCTTGTTCCTAAAACGAACAGAATATATAGTAAAAATAATCAGAGTATGTGTTAAAGGGGTAGTTCACCCAAAAAAACGACAATTCTGTCATCATTTACTCACCCTCATGATGTTACAACCAACAGTGAATTGTCATTTTAGGACTGAACTTTCCCTAAAAATGTGATTGGATATTAATAAGCATGGCCCCACATCTAGTTAATAGGCACAAACATATGACCAATCATTCGTTTAGTAAAATAAACTCAACTCTGATGTGTCGTTACCAGCTACATTCATAAAGAGAGGACTGAAACATTATCTACACACACAAACACAAAGAAACCTCACTCGGGTATTAAGATACCGTTCTCTGTGTACAAGGTGTATTTTCCTCTTCCCTCCTGATTTCTCCATATAAAGTGCCATGCCCTCTATCTTGGGTTGGAGTAGAATAGAAGAATGATTTAAACGATTGCACCTACGACTCTTCTCCGCCTGCCCGTCCTTGATCCTGTCTAGACCAGAAGATAGAGATTCATAGTTTTCCTAATTCTGCAGAATAAACAGTTGCGTAAACATCAAAATCCTGTCCATTAAATATATTTACAGCAGTATACATGTCATACGAAAACCCTTACCAGTTACAGACAGAGAAGAGAAGACTGGGAAATCACTGAAAAATGAATCAATTTCATCTGAAGCAGGCTACTTTTTATCAAGTTGGTTGTTGTATGTATCACTGCAGTTCAGAAATGAATTGTCTGGCGAGTGGAGCTAAAAGGTTAAGGCGCTTTTGAAAATCACATGCCACCTACACTCAACCTGACCCTAAACCACATTGATAGTGTTAAAGGAACAGTTCACTCAAAAATGAATATTCTGTCACCATTTAAAGGGATAGTTCACCCAAAAATTAAAATGTGATGTCTATCTGCTTACCCCCAGGGCATCCAAGATGTAGGTTACTTTGTTTCTTCAGTAGAACACATATGATGATTTTTAACTTTAACCGTTGCAGTCTATCAGTCGTATAATGCATGGCAATGGTAACAAAATCTATGAGAGTAAAAAAAACATGCACAGACAAATCCAAATTAAACCCTGCGGCTCGTGACGACACATTGATGTCCTAAGACACGAAACGATCGGTTTGTGCCAGAAACTGAACAGTATTTATATCATATTTTACCTCTAATACACCACTGTGTCCTACTGCTTTTAGCACACGCACGGCATCCGGTGCGTGAGGTGTGTACGCGCTCTGGCGTAGTTTACACAAGCGCCGGAAGTGATCTCTCGCGCGTATACGTCACTCATTGTTTGCACAGTGCACAGTCATTGTAGGTACGACGGCTAATCAAAATGGTACTTACTTGCGCTTATCCAGATTGTTCAAACCGACTTAAAACTAAAAGATTACATTCTCTCGCGCGAACTCATTTGGGAGTGGTGACTTTCCACGTATTCCCAACTTCTGAGCCTGCTCGCCGGAAGTTATGGTTGATTGCTCTTCGGCTGGATATCAACACACCCATTAACGTAAACTACGCCAGAGCGCGTACACACCTTGCGCACCGGATGCCATGCGCGCGCTCAAAGCAGTTGGACACAGTGGTGTATTAGAGGGAAAATATGAGATAAATACTGTTCGGTTTCTGGCACAAACCGATCGTTTCGTGTCTTAGGACATCAATGTGTCGTCACGAGCCGCAGGGTTTAATTTGGATTTGTCTGTGCATGTTTTTTTTACTCTCATAGATTTTGTTACCATTGCCATGCATTATACGACTGATAGACTGCAACGGTTAAAGTTAAAAATCATCATATGTGTTCTACTGAAGAAACAAAGTCACCTACATCTTGGATGCCCTGGGGGTAAGCAGATAAACATCACATTTTCATTTTTGGATGAACTATCCCTTTAAGAAGCTATTTTGAAGATTGTTGGTAGCCATTGACTTCCATAATATGGAGAAAAAAAAATACTATGGGAGTCAATGGCTACCGACCAAATGTTTGGTTACCAACAATCTTCAAAATAGCTTCTTTTGTGTTCAGCAGAAGAAAGAAACTCATACAGGTTTGGAACAATCTAAATGATGACAGAAGCATGCCACTTCATCTTGCTTCGACGAGCCTTTGAGCTCTTTTTTCTAATGTCATGACTGGTGTTTCATGGGACTCGTACCCGAGCACTTCAACATTGCAAGTGCAACACTGTACCAGGTGAGCTACCTAGCAAGTTTACTACATCAGAAAAGTCATACATACAGTTGGTACGGAAAGTATTCAGACCCCCTTACATTTTTCACTCTTTGTTATATTGCAGCCATTTACTAAAATCATTTAAGTTATTTTTTTTCCTCATTAATGTACACACAGCACCCCATATTGACAGAAAAACACAGAATTGTTGACATTTTTGCAGATTTATTAAAAAAGAAAAACTGAAATATCACATGGTCCTAAGTATTCAGACCCTTTGCTGTGACACTCATATATTTAACTCAGGTGCTGTCCATTTCTTCTGATCATCCTTGAGATGGTTCTACACCTTCATTTGAGTCCAGCTGTGTTTGATTATACTGATTGGACTTGATTAGGAAAGCCACACACCTGTCTATATAAGACCTTACAGCTCACAGTGCATGTCAGAGCAAATGAGAATCATGAGGTCAAAGGAACTGCCTGAAGAGCTCAGAGACAGAATTGTGGCAAGGCACAGATCTGGCCAAGGTTACAAAAAAAATTCTGCTGCACTTAAGGTTCCTAAGAGCACAGTGGCCTCCATAATCCTTAAATGGAAGAGGTTTGGGATGACCAGAACCCTTCCTAGAGAAAGAGCACAGATAATCCTTAAATGGAAGAGGTTTGGGATGACCAGAACCCTTCCTAGAGCTGGCCGTCCGGCCAAACTGACAAACTGAGGAAGAAGAGCCTTGGTGAGAGAGGTAAAGAAGAACCCAAAGATCACTGTGGCTGAGCTCCAGAAATGCAGTCGGGAGATGGGAGAAAGTTGTAGAAAGTCAACCACCACGGCAGCCCTCCACCAGTCGGGGCTTTATGGCAGAGGGGCCCGACGGAAGACTCTCCTCAGTGCAAGACACATGAAAAAACACCTGAAGGACTCCAAGAGGGTGAGAAATAAGATTCTCTGGTCGGATGAGGCCAAGATAGAACTTTTTGGCCTTAATTCTAAGCGGTATGTGTGGAGAAAACCAGGCACTGCTCATCACCTGTCCAATACAGTCCCAACAGTGAAGCATGGTGGTGGCAGCATCATACTGTGGGGGTGTTTTTCAGCTGCAGGGACAGGACGACTGGTTACAATCGAGGGAAAGATGAATGCGGCCAAGCACAGGGATATCCTGGACGAAAACCTTCTCCAAAGTGCTCAGGACCTCAGACTGGGCCAAAGGTTTACCTTCCAACAAGACAATGACCCTAAGCACACAGCTAAAATAACGAAGGAGTGGCTTCACAACAACTCTGTGACTGTTCTTGAATGGCCCAGCCAGAGCCCTGACTTAAACCCAATTGAGCATCTCTGGAGAGACCTAAAAATGGCTGTCCACCAACGTTTACCATCCAACCTGACAGAACTGGAGAGGATCTGCAAGGAGAAATGGCAGAGGATCCCCAAATCCAGGTGTGAAAAACGTGTTGCATCTTTCCCAAAAAGACTCATGACTGTATTAGATCAAAAGGGTGCTTCTACTAAAAACTGAGCAAAGGGTCTGAATACTTAGGACCATCTGATATTTCAGTTTTTCTTTTTTAATAAATCTGCAAAAATGTCAACAATGCTGTGTTTTTCTGTCAATATGGGGTGCTGTGTGTACATTAATGAGGAAAAAAAAAAGAACTTAAATGATTTTAGCAAATGGCTCCAATATAACAGAGTGAAAAATTTAAGGATACTTTCCGTACCCACTGTGTGTGTATATATATAAAAGAAAAGCATCTTATTTGCATTTTAGGGACAGATTGCTATAGCAAAGCTTTTAGTAATAGCCCTTTTACAGTATTTGCTTGTATTCTCTGCCTTTAATGTGATTTGTAGTACCCAGCTCTGCTCCGAAAGATGTGACTGTGATCAGTAAAGAGGGAAATCCTCGAATCATCAACATCAACTGGCAGCCTCCGACTGAAGCCAACGGCAAAATCACAGGTACCCCAAAACCATGTCCCGGTCATATACCTAAAAATGGCTGTCCACCAACGTTTACCATCCAACCTGACAGAACTGGAGAGGATCTGCAAGGAGGAATGGCAGAGGATCCCCAAATCCAGGTGTGAAAAACTTGTTGCATCTTTCCCAAAAAGACTCATGGCTGTATTAGATCAAAAGGGTGCTTCTACTAAATACTGAGCAAAGGGTCTGAATACATAGGACCATGTGATATTTCAGTTTTTCTTTTTTAATAAATCTGCAAAAATGTCAACAATTCTGTGTTTTTCTGTCAATATGGGGTGCTGTGTGTACATTAATGAGGGAAAAAAATTAACTTAAATGATTTTAGCAAATGGCTGCAATATAACAAAGAGTGAAAAATTTAAGGGGGTCTTAATACTTTCCGTACCTACTGTATGGAGCTTAGTTTACAATTGTTAGTATACAAATCATGCACTATGGTAAACCAAGCAAAAATAGGGCTTCATTAATTAATAATCTGCCCCTGTAATCAAAACTGGTGTGAAAAGGAATCAAAGTTGTTGGCATTTTACTGCCTCTAGTGGTAATTTCAGCTGGAAACTGAACGTCAAGTTTTATTAGAACTTGACAGTAAAGACTTTTCCAATGTCTTTATTAATTGATAATCTGCTAATGTAATTACAATCTGTGTGAAAAACATTTTGTGTGCTGTTTTACTGCCTTTAGTGTTCAGATCAACTAGAAACTGCAGTTGCAATTGTAGGGCTGTCCAAAAAAAAATTTCCACATTCGAATGCAAAAACGTTGCTTTCGAATTTAAGGTCTGCGTCAGCCATCAGGCAGCCTTCTCGGTGGCGCACGAGATGCGATGACGATGTATGGGTCATAGATTGCATTTGAATGCTTTTGTTAGCCTATCCAGTTGAACCCACTAGATGCGGCACTGCTACGTTGTTCATTCAATATATTGCGGAAAACGAGAGCATCAGTGTGGAGAAGATGTTGTTTACGTCAAAACTGAAACCAAGCCGTTCACACAGAACGCATATGTATCACATTTTCTAGAGGGACATCTATCACAGTTGCACTCGCGTCTCGCACAAAAGAGCGGCATGTTTAGAAAGCCATGTAAAATTAATGCAACTTTTAAAAAACATGTCTAAAGACGTTATGGCGGTTTTTCCCCATCCCACTGCATCTCATGTTTTTAAATGAAGAAAGTAGCCTACTCTTTGTGATTGGTTTTCGGTCCTTTGTATTAAACTATACGTACATGCATGGTGCTGTTTTTTTTCTTCTAATTGTTTAAGCAACTTTATTAATTACATATGGTTTATAAACATTATTTTAAACATTATGCACTTTTTTTCAAAGATAGTCGTGTTATTTTATTACGCTTTGAAGAAACGTGCATAATATTTTGCTCGATGCGCCCTCTTGTGGCCTCAGGAGAGAAGCCAAAAGCTTTTTTCCCCCTAACTGAAATGATGCCTTTTCAATTCGAATATAATTCGAATTTTGATAATATTTCAGTAGAAAATTCAAATGTAGTTTTTCAGTCATTTTGACAGCCCTAGTGAATTGTATGTATAGTTGTTTTTGGAGTTTTGCAAAAATATAGAGGCATATTTTGTCCAGTGAGCCTGGGTTGGAAACGTCACAAACTGTATTCGACCTTGAGACACTCACATGAGCAGCACAGCTCAATGTGTTGCACTCTTAACAAGTGTGTTTACTCCCATTAAGACTGCATGCGAGTTTATTGTTCTGAAAGCAGGATGAGTGTGGCGTCTCAGACCTGCTGGGATCAGGAGGTTTCCTCGGCGCTGCCGCTGAAGGAGCGACTCCGGATGTGGTTCCTCAGCTGTTCGATCAGTTCTGGATTCTGCTGCTGGATCTGCTGGGCGAACTGCTGTCCACTGAGAGAAACACAGAACATCTCAGACCACCATCTCAGAGTCCTAGTTTATGTGGCACGTCCAAACATCAGGCTATGTTTGTAATACTGCTTGGTGCAGCAGTATATTATGCACATCATTCTTAAAACTGCTTGTTGAACACATGTCAAGTCAATCAAACGTCAAAGAGAAGATGCTCACGCTTCAATGAGACTGGATATGTCAGATAATCCACCGACTCCGGCTGCAGGTCCCCCCACCGCGTTAGACATCATGCCCGACATGCTGGTTTTGGACAGTTAATCACAATCACACTGTGTCATGAGGGTTTTACAAATATAGTGTGTGCGTGACCTATGTTAAAGAGTTATCCGTTTTGTGATACGGATAAGTTTTGTGTTTGGAATGACATGAGGTTGAGCAAATGGTGACAGAAATTCTATTTTTGGATGAATTATCCCTTTAAATTATTTGTAAAGACATGATTTGGAAAAGTACACCACAAATGTGCATAGTCTAAATGATGAAACTCACAGTTGTTGCACTTGTTGGTTTTGCATCACACTGGCAGCCTATAGTGAAAAGAGAAACATCAAATTTAAAAAGAAATCAAATTAATTTGTGGCTTTTAGTCCATGCACGTTAGCTTAGGGGGAAGTCGTGGCCTAATGGTTAGAGCGTCGGACTCATAACCCAAAGGTTCTGGGTTCGAGTCCGGCAGGGATTGTAGGTGGAGGGAGTGAATGTACAGCGCTCTCTCCCACCTTCAATACCACGACTGAGGTGCCCTTGAGCAAGGCACCGAACCCCCAACTGCTCCCCGGGCGCCGCAGCATAAATGGCTGCCCACTGCTGTGTGTGTGTGTTCATGGTTTGTGTGTGTGCACTTTGGATGGGTAAATGCAGAGCACTAATTCCGAGTATGGGTCACCATACTTGGCCACATGTCACTTCACTTTCACTTTTTAAAAACCATCAAAATAAACTTTTAGCAGATATACACTAACATTCAAAAGATTGGGATTTTTTAAAAGAAATTTATTCAGCAAGGATGCACTGAATTGATCAAAAGATTTGTAATGTTACAAAAGATTTATTTTTCAAATAAATGCTGTTCTTTTGAACTTTCTATTTTTCAACATTGATAATAATCAGAGATGTTTCTTGAGCATCAAATCAGCATATTAGAATGATTTCTGAAGATCATGCGACACTGAAGACTGGAGGAATGATGCTGAAAATACAGCTTTGATCACAGACATAAATTACATTTAACATATATTCACATAGAAAACATTTCTTTTAAATTGTAATGATATTCACAATATTACTGTTTTTACTGTATTATTGATCCAAATCAGCTAAATGCAGCCTTGGCTCAACAAAAGAAACAAAATATCTTTCGCTTTCAACTACTTCATTAATTAATACTAGCCTAATGCATACTGTATTGTGTATTCATCTTATATACTGTACACTGTCTACTAAAATAAGTATGCATTATGCAATGATAAACACTTTTCAGATATCATCTTAAAAATAAAAGCATTTATTAGCCCTTAATCCAATTTTGCATTTATAAAGTCTTCAAAGTTGAACAGGAATAAAGTCTAAAATCTTGGCAGTTTGATCAAATGGTCAAAAAAAAATTATGTTAAAAATGATGATTGGTGCGTCTGGTTTATCAGTCACACTAGAAACAGAAGTTCATTTCAAAAGCATTGCATTATGGGATACAGTATTCTGCGCATGGATTTTATACGGCATATCTTGGTAAATTTAGTAGATCATCCATGCATACAGAAAAAAATGGCATACTGAGCACAGTATACACGCTATATGCTGGTACTGCATGGAAGTATGCTACTCCTAACCTCTAAACCTTGAAGCACAACCAAAGCATTCATACCCTACCTCTGTGCATTAAGGTCTTAAAATTGTGCGAGTTCTTTTTATGAATGCGTCCCAATTCCTAAACTGCTGCAGTGTGCTAGAAACCACACGCTCCCCCTCAGGCCTCCAGCTGACTGGCCCTTTAACTCGGGCATGGGCTGCATTCCAGACAGATGACAGGAGTCGCAGGGGGCGATTTATGACCCTTTTCATAAATACTATTAACAGAGAAATGTGAAACCACCCACTTGCGCATACCATGCTAATGAAAGCGGGGTTATTGATGAGGCTGGCCATGTCAAAGCCCAGTCCTGTGGCCGTCTGCGAGAAGACAACATACAAAAGCTAATGTTAGGAGTTATTACTGGCTAGCTCTCATATTTAATTACTCAACCGGGATACTCAATATACACTCATAAAAAAACTATGATGTTCTTAATGGGATGGATCAAATTTAAAAGTAACGATCTCCATTTCACCTACAGTACTATGACAGCAGCTTCTTCTACTCACAGGGCTGGCAGCTTCTTTTTGTTTCTGCTCTGCTATCTTTAGGTTGGATTTGTAGGTGTCGTTTTCAGGGTCTAACACCAGAGCTTTATTAAAATAAGAGATCGCCTCGGGATACTTGCTCATGGAAGTTAGTGCCAATCTAGAACCATAAAGAGATGAAAATCAAAGACAGAGAAACATAAGTTAGTCAAATTCATATCTGTAATATACTGTATACAGTGGGAGGAATATTTTAGAACTGATTGGCATGCACTGATTCTGGTTCTAACTCTGATTAATTTGATCATTTTTGGCTCCATAATGATTCCATTAATGAATTTTAGTACTTTTGAGGAAGTGCCCTCTCCTTTATAAATGTGCCTAACTATAAACTAAACGAAACGTACAGTCACAACAAATTATGCCAGACTTGAGGTTTAAACTCATGAGATTGACTCATTAAAAAGTTTGTTGTTGCTATTTATAGCCCCCAGTTTTTCTCTGTCATCACATTCTATTCACATTCTATTCATTCTATTGTTGATGCAGATGTTCAAGAACAAAACCAAATATTATAAAAATACTTCATTCGCAGAGTCTTTTAAAAATGAAACTTGTTCTGAACATACAATTAATTTCCAACTTTGTAATTTGGCAAATTGGTAACTTTATGAGACTACTACTAATAATAAATTAATACTAAAACATAACATGGCTGTTTAAAATTAGATGAAAATAATGAATAATGAAAGGAGTTATCAGTAAATTTAGTATTATTTATATACTAGTTTTTAGTATTTATTTACTAATATTGTGAATTAGCTTTTATCTTCATTTATTTCATTTTCATTAATTTTTCACTTCAAGTATACGTTTTTTTGGTAGTCTTTTATATTTCTTTTTAGCTGTAAAATATTTTCATTTCACTTCTAGTTTTAGTCACCCCCCCCATTTTTTTTAAAATAGGCATGCAGGTGCACTATCCAAACTTAAATTGTTGTAATTTATGAACACTTTGGAATACAGACATAAATTTGGTCTCTTTTTAAAGAAGAAAATCAGCAGATTATCGCAAAAGCGGACAAATTAAAGTATCAAAAAGTTATGGTCGTTTAAATTTACTGTAAAGAAAATGCACTATATTACTTAATTTTATTTTATTATATATATATAAAATATTTTACATAACAGGTTTTACTCTAAAATTTGTATAAAATTAAAGCCTTGTGTCTAAATAAGTTATGTTCCAAATTTGAAGTTGATATGAAAAAAATTAGTTTAAATTTACTGTAAAGAAAATGCACTATATTACTTAATTTTATTTTATTATATATATATAAAATATTTTACATAACAGGTTTTACTCTAAAATTTGTATAAAATTAAAGCCTTATGTCTAAATAAGTTATGTTCCAAATTTGAAGTTGACATGAAAAAAATGGAGGTTCCTGTGAGATTGTATTTAGGGCGCTATACCACAAACAGCCACCGGGTGCCATCCAAACTATATTAAATCTTTTAGTGAGTGAGTGACATGTGGCCAAGTATGGTGACCTGTCAATATTACTTCTATCTCAAAATATGGAATCCTGAGACTCAGACCTTTCCATTGATATGTTTTTTGTCAAGATTATAAAAAGTTTTGATTGTAAAAGAGCGTAATGCATTTTGTAATATGACACTTGACACCGCCCACTAAGGGGGAGGAGACCGCCAAAAGATTTTAAAGATTTAATGCAATGTCCGATTTCAAAATAGTTTTCACAGGATGAATCTTGGGCTTCTAAGTTTTCAAATGATATATGATTTATGATGATTTCTAAAAGATTTGATAGCGAAAAAGGACAACAACAAAAAGAGTGCCAAGCGTCCCACAGGTGGGCCGGTGACAGTTAAGGGGTTTTAAACTTATTTTTATTATAGTTTTTTAGTCATGCTACTTTTATAGTTAGTTGCCATGGCAACACTTCTAATTTTCATTAATAGTTGTTTTAATAAGTTTATGTTTTTCATCTACTATTTACGTTTTATTTAATTTCAGCTTTATTTCAATTCATGAAAACATTTTTCAATAGTTTGAGTTAACAATAACAACACTGACAGTTATTCCACAGTAATCTCACCCCATTCTGCCATAAGCTTTACTGTATGACGGGTCGATGGCGATCGCTCGTTCACAGTCTCCCGTAGCCTCCGTGTAATTCCCAAGTTTACTATGTGCCGCAGCCCTGAGAGAACAATCCCAGCCGTCAACACCAAACATAATAACATACAGTATGTCTCTGTGAGTGACACAATCAGTGAGCGTTCACCTGTTACAGTAATACACTGCATTTCTTTGGTCCAACTCGATGGCTTTTGTGTAACAGTCCACAGCACTGCTGTAATTCTCCTCTTTCATGTGGTTATTCCCTGATAAAGACAAACAAAGGCATTTGATGCACAGAGCATTACAATGCATCGTTACAATGGAAAATGTGATGACAGATGCATTTTAGTTATACAGAATGCATCCTGTGAAATGATTTTGAAAGTGTTTTAGTCGTAAAGTGTGACGTGCCCTCATTTTTCAGCTGCTCAGCTCTCTCGATGTCCTCTGGAGATGGAAACGTCTCAGGTAGCGTAACAATATCATTCTGTAAACGACAGTGTCAGAAATCTTGCTTGCTGCATAATATACTGAATTATAACAACAGCAATCAAAATAATGAAAGAAAGCAGGTTGGCGTGTAATAAATGCAGTTACTTTGAGGAGGGAATTGAGGAATATCTCTCTCAGCGGCTGAGGGGCGGCAAGATGATAGTCGCTGGAGCTGATCTTGAAAGTGGTCTCCAGACACTGTACTGCAACTGTAAATAGGAGAATAATGCAATCATATTTTCAATAATTGTCACTGCTCAACCCGAATTGCTTATTTTTTCAGCAGCAGACATTTTTTTCTAGAGAGCAGGGTAGCTGATGGTCAATACAATGCTGATATGTGACCCTGGAGCACAAAACCAGTCTTAAAGGAACACTCCACTATTTTTGAAAATAGGCTCATTTTCCAACTCCCCTAGAGTTAAACAGTTGAGTTTTACCATTTTCGAATCCATTCAGCCGATCTCCGGGTCTGGCGGTAGCACTTTTAGCTGTAGCTTAGCATAGATCATTGAATCGGATTAGACCATTAGCATCTCGCTCAAAACCGACCAAAGAGTTTCTATATTTTTCCTATTTAAAACTTGACTCTTCTGTAGTTACATCGTGTACCAAGACCAACGGAAAATGAAAATTTGTGTAATATCATCGAGCCTGCTGCACCCATGGTACGCCAGCAAAGTTCCTTGATTATTACGCCGGAACGAGAGTATAGTTCCTAGCCATATCGGCCTAGAAAATCGCAACTTTTCATTTTCCGTCGGTCTTAGTACACGAAGCGATCTGTCACTCCACATTAAACAGCGCCAAAACGGCATTTATTGTTTGAATACTGCAATACAATGGACAGAATTTGAAATCTGAGACTTTGTTGCATATTAAAAGTACCAAAGCACAATGCTCACTGCGATATATTGGATGGGAGGTGCCCTTCAATGTTCCGTCCATTAACTGAAGACAGGCTACACTAATCGATTCTTGGGATTTAAGAATCGATATCGTTCCGTAAAAATGATAATCGATTAATATCGAGATATCGATATATTTTTACCCAGCCCTAGTAATTACCTGAACCTTCCAGTGCTTTTTCTTTTTTAAAAGCAGGACTTCAGTACATCTTCATATGTCATTTCATTATTACTCCTATTGTTTTTTTTTATATGGTTAAAGTGTACTGCTGAATTTACTGACCAGCTTTTATGATAACCTAAAATATAATGTCATTTCTCTTGACACTTTTCATGTATGTCACTTATTTAAATGTATTAGTAATTACACATTTATAATGATGACGTTACAATTTTGTATATTTATATGTTAACTTTAATATATGAACTTTCGATGTAATTGCTAATAACACACTAAAGTTAGAATGATAATAGCCAAGTACTTTACATGTGCTTTACCGTGTTAGTCAAAATCAGTGCACTTCTTTAAAGCACAACAACAGATTATTAAAACATGTAAATGTAAAACTTAAATAATGCGTATCAGTACTGTACATACCGATAATCTCACCAAATATTAGCCAGCTAATCAACCGATCTGATATATCAGGCTGATAGATCACTAATAATAATAACAACGTCATTAAACATAAGTACAATTCAGTTTTCAGTCTCGTGACCGGCTGGAAGACCTGGCGGGCAAAACATCCATAGAACTGCAGCACAAGCCCGTCAGTTTTACATCTGTTCCAATACAAAAATCTTTAGATCACCTCTCAAAAAAAAAAAAAAAAAGAAGCAAGTTTTGGCCATTATCAATCCATATAAAGCACCCGCCGCAATATTTCAATCAGTAAAAACAGCGGGACATTCTAAAACGTTTAATGTGAAAACACTTAAAGTGCCTTTAAAACAGTGATATTAAAGATCAAATTCAGTACACATCTTTTTGATGATGCATGCTTTAAGTTTATACAGACAAGCAGATGGGCTCGGAACATGAACGCAATGCGCTAAACGGTTAAGTGTTTTCTTTAAAACGGTTTTCTATGGGAAAACATTTAATGTGAAACTTTGCACATTGCGTTTATATTCTGGGTTCATCTGCTTGCCTGTGCAAAGTCTGCATCATCAAGGTGTATACTGAATTTGGCCTTTAAATATCACTGTCTTACTACATTACTACTTGATGCAAACCTCATAAAAATAACTCTCTTTTGGAAGACCAAACAAAGTAGTTTCGCTTTCACAACAAAACACAGCGTCTTCACGACATGACGGCGGCAACAATACTACAGCGAGAATAAAAGTTACGCCTTCTTTCTTTGCGTGAACATTTGGGCGGCGTTATGCAAATCTTCCCACATAGTGAGGTAGACATGTGGGGGCGTGTTAGAACGAGCCGTTTTAGGTAGGCGTGGTTAACTCTTAACTTTTATAAAGAATATCTCTTTGGATTTGAGACTTTAGTCTTTGCAACTTTACAGATCTTCTTTATGCACCAAGAGCTTGTAACACTCCAAAGAGAAAGGAAAACTTGAAATCGCATCATATGACCCCTTTAACGGTTTTAAGCACGAGGGTGACCTACCTTCCAGACTTTCCTGTTCATCTGAATTCAGCGAGCCACAGTGAGTCTGATCTCTCAGGAACTGGACGATAGAATACGCCAAGCGCTTTTCCACTGCCATTTTGTTTGGGAGAAACCTGGGGAAAGATTTGTTGATGCTTTTTTAACTGAATCAGACGGGACATTGCAGGAAAAGCTGGCATCCAGACAACAATTTTCCACGTCAGTAAAACAGAAAATGAAATCATGAACCGACTTAACTGATACTGTCTATACATTAACCTAGAGATGTCCTATTCCCAGCATATGTGCATGCTGCTGCAGGGGTTAGTTACATAACATTCATCTATCAATTATTTCTGCTTATTATTAAAGCGGTTAATCATATCTGAAATAGAAAACTGTTCTGGGTCCCACTGCAGAGCACATTAAACAGTTTCTTGCAACTGTGTCACACAGTCTGTTATTCATGCCCCTGCATAACAAAAGCCAAAACACATGTGATGCAGTCATGATGTAACGCTGACACAAGACTCTGACCGTGCTCTACAACATGAGCTATGATTTAATCTCAAGTACTTGTGACAATAACCCCGTTAACCGCAGATGAGCAGTAGTCTGCGCCTCACAGATGGCTCATGTTTACATCGCTTTGCACAGAGGAGAGTGCAGAAGCCTGAGCAATGGCTGAAGACAGTCGCAGATTAATTACCGGACAGAAGGAGAAACCTTTGCGTGCTCTTCAAGAGCCCCGCATCTCACACCTCGCGGAAAATATCAATAACATCAATATATAGTCCTGTGGATGCTGTGCGCGCCCCCGCCCACCTACCTGGAGAAAGTGCCCGCAGCGCTCGCGCCAGCCACATGAACGCTCACGCAGACTGATGCGCGTGCGCCGTCTCGCCGGAAATGGCTCTGCTCGAGGACTACAATGAATTTATGATTTTTATTAATTTTATGAGTTCGACTAATTCTACTGTGTAAAGGCGTTAATACATATATGATTAATTTTGTTTCTGTTACAGCCCTACTGAAAAAACCCCGCTAAAATCAGCCAAAGCTGGTTTTAGCTGGTCGTCCCGCCTGGTTATAGCTGGTTTTAGCTGGTCGTCCCGCCTGGTTATAGCTGGTTTTAGCTGGTCGTCCCGCCTGGTTATAGCTGGTTTTAGCTGGTCGTCCCGCCTGGTTATAGCTGGTTTTAGCTGGTCGTCCCGCCTGGTTATAGCTGGTTTTAGCTGGTCGTCCCGCCTGACAATGAATTTATGATTTTTATTAATTTTATGAGTTCGACTAATTCTACTGTGTAAAGGCGTTAATACATATATGATTAATTTTGTTTTTGTTACAGCCCTACTGAAAAAACCCCGCTAAAATCAGCCAAAGCTGGTTTTCCCGCCTGATTATAGCTGGTTTTAGAAGGTCGTCCCGCCTGGTTATAGCTGGTTTTAGCTGATCGTCCCGCCTGGTTATAGCTGATTTTAGAAGGTCGTCCCGCCTGATTATAGCTGGGTTTAGAAGGTCGTCCCGCCTGATTATAGCTGGTTTTAGCTGGTCGTCCCGCCTGGTTATAGCTGGTTTTAGAAGGTCGTCCCGCCTGGTTATAGCTGGTTTTAGAAGGGTTTTGGCCACTTCTAACTTCCAGCTACTTCCAGCTTAAACCAGCTAAGACCAGCCAACCAGTTTAGGCTGGTTTTAGTAGTTTTTTTTGTTTGTTTGTTTGTTTTCAGCAGGGAGGGTTACAAACCACAAATCAAACTACATTTAAAAGAACTAATAAATAACCGCTCACATTAAAAATGTGGCTAAATTAATTTAATTAAATCGAACGTTTAATGGAAGAACCCGTTCTTTTTGTTGTTTATGTAATGTACGTGTAAAATGAATGTCACTGTTACTTATTTAAAAAACAAAACAAAAAAAAACTGTTACTTATTTAATATTCATAAGCTAATCTTTCACCGCATTCATTAATTCGCCAGTTGACGAGCTCCCGCCTACCAGCATTTACCTTGTAGCCAATCAGAATGCGCTATCAGGTGAACGTCTACTTACGTAATTAATATTCACAAGCCAAACCTTCATCGTATTAGTAATAGCAGTAATGGTTTGCAACAGTGTGACGGTAGGAGTTGCATCCCAGTTTTGCACGTCGCACGTATGAATCTATAGGCATGCAATGTTTATCCTCGGCATTTCTGTGACTCGAGCGGCTAGAAGGTATTGTGGTTTCTGTTATTTAACTCACTTTATGCGCTTTGACTGGGTTGCCATTACTAGTTACCATGAACCGAATGCATGAATGCGACTGGGCTCACAAACCATATATTCTCTGACTTATTCTGTTTTACCTTACAAAGCTTTAGTATGAGAGGATATCTGGTTTTAGTCAGGTTATCTTCTGAAAACTAGGCAATGCAACTGGCATATGTGAAGTAGTGTAAGTGTAGCACAGGCAGATCAGGTTCACATTCCCTATTTTGAAAGACATGTGAAAGTGCCCATCGTTAGTACGGAAAACATTCAGGGTTTTGGCCACTTCTAACTTCCAGCTACTTCCAGCTTAAACCAGCTAAGACCAGCCAACCAGTTTAGGCTGGTTTTAGTAGTTTTTTTTTTTTGTTTGTTTGTTTGTTTGTTTTCAGCAAGGAGGGTTACAAACCACAAATCAAACTACATTTAAAAGAACTAATAAATAACCGCTCACATTAAAAATGTGGCTAAATTAATTTAATTAAATCGAACGTTTAATGGAAGAACCCGTTCTTTTTGTTGTTTATGTAATGTACGTGTAAAATGAAGTAAAAACGATCATGTCACTGTTACTTATTTAAAAAACAAAACAAAAAAAAACTGTTACTTATTTAATATTCATAAGCTAATCTTTCACCGCATTCATTAATTCGCCAGTTGACGAGCTCCCGCCTACCAGCATTTACCTTGTAGCCAATCAGAATGCGCTATCAGGTGAACGTCTACTTACGTAATTAATATTCACAAGCCAAACCTTCATCGTATTAGTAATAGCAGTAATGGTTTGCAACAGTGTGACGGTAGGAGTTGCATCCCAGTTTTGCACGTCGCACGTATGAATCTATAGGCATGCAATGTTTATCCTCGGCATTTCTGTGACTCGAGCGGCTAGAAGGTATTGTGGTTTCTGTTATTTAACTCACTTTATGCGCTTTGACTGGGTTGCCATTACTAGTTACCATGAACCGAATGCATGAATGCGACTGGGCTCACAAACCATATATTCTCTGACTTATTCTGTTTTACCTTACAAAGCTTTAGTATGAGAGGATATCTGGTTTTAGTCAGGTTATCTTCTGAAAACTAGGCAATGCAACTGGCATATGTGAAGTAGTGTAAGTGTAGCACAGGCAGATCAGGTTCACATTCCCTATTTTGAAAGACATGTGAAAGTGCCCATCGTTAGTACGGAAAACATTCACAGCATGCAGCAGCCCTGCACAGCACTCAAGTTTCTCTTCTTTCAGTATTATGCATATTAATGTGTAGCATTTCTTTTTCTAAAGTTGCAAGAAGCCTCATACAAGTGCCCATGCAATGCATGCAGGCTAATATTTACACAGTGGTCAGCACTGATTCTGTCTTTTGTGCATTGCAGAGTTGTTTTATCCAGCTCAAAGCTCAAGATGACACTTCAGAATGGATCAGTCACATCCACCCGCAGCTGCTCCAGCACAGCGGACACGAACAACAACAACCTGCGCTGGGACCTGACCCCAGAAGAGATCAGACACCAGACACAGAGACTGATCCAGCGGATAAAGCAAGCCTATGACTCCGTGGGCTCGGTGGACATTGGGAAGGTGTGCTTTGAGAATACACTGCAAGTCATTGCAGACGCAAAAGCAGAGTACGCCGGTGAGTGGCGACCGGTGGAAGGATGCCATGCATGATATTAATGTGAAGTTCTGTCATCTGTGTCTGTTTTTGTGCTGTGCTCTTCACTGTTCTGTGCTCTGTTTCAGCTTCACGGCATGTGCTGGACATTCCTCAGTATGTTTCTCCATGTAAAGAAGTGAGATTGGCGAGCACCGAGGCTGATAAGCGCCTGTCGGGTTTTGATGTGGAAGTGAGCATGAGGGCCGACGTGTTTCAGAGACTTATAGCCCTGCAGGTACCACAACTACAGTATAATATTCTGAATAATTCTGCTACTGTGCACTCGTCCATTTTTTTTTTTTTCATTTAAAAAAATTTTCATTTTCTTCTGTTTATTATCTGTGTTATCCTTCTATATTATTTTATTGTATTCTATTTTACTCATAGCACAGTGCAAAGAGTACAGGACATGAGCTGAATGTCATCCATTTGATTGACACTGCTAAACGTGTCTGAGTGTGTGTGCACTAACCTCTAGCCTTGTGTTCTTCTCTACTAGTATTTAGTATGCAAAAAGAAACCGTAAAAAATACGGTTAAAGGCGACTTAAACCTGACATACTGTAATGAGACTTAGACAACCCTCATTGTTTCTTGTGTTAAGCACGCACGTTTGAATCCGTTTACCAAGTTTGATGTGCTCTATGCATGTGCGTTGATCAATGTTTATAACATAATATAATATAAACATATAAACTTTATATTTGAATAAAAGCCTAAATTATATCTGTTCTTCAGATACAGCAATTGTTTTTTTTTAGTAGACCTGCCCTTCGTCCAAGTATGCATATTTTTTGCTATATAGTTGATGAAAAACAGTATGTGATAATGTTAGACAAGTAATAAATCTGAATTCATAGTATTCATAAAATAGCAGGTGAAAAGTAACCAGATGACAGCATGGCGGATGTAGAATGTCCATATGTTATTCATACTAACCATATTCATAATATATAGGACATAATTTTTTTTAACAGTCACAAAGTAAGTTTCAAACCAAATGTAGTGCCTTCTAGACATTATGTGATTTTGGTCACAGCTTTGGATTGAATTATTTAATTCATATGGACTTTTAGAAACGTCGAAGATTTGGTATAAAAGACTTTTAATGGAGGGACAGAAATCTCTCAGGTTTAATTAAAAATATCTTCATTTGAGTTTTGAAGATGAACAAAATAATTCCGCCACTGTGCACATATATTTATTTTTTATATTTGTTTATTTATTTTTATTAAAGGGTTAGTTCACCCAAAAATGGAAATTAGCCTATAAATTACTCAGCCTCAAGTCATCCTAGGTGTATATGACTTTCTTCTTTCAGAC